TGGCATCGGGCCACCAGCCGGCCCAGCCTTATGTTGCATCTGAATAAACTGAGATGTCTTTCCTCTAAGTCGTTCCCAGCAGGCTCCTCTCATAGGTCAGCTTCTCTGCTGGGCCTCAGCCTCAGTACCCCCATCAAGCCTCCTCCCTTCCGGTACAGTTTCTTCCATCTCTCAGAGATTTCATTTATTTTTGGGAGGGGGTTGGTGCCAGTACAAAGGCTTGGAGTCAGAGCCTTACACTTTTTGCTTGGCTTTTTTTTCCCACTCAAGGCTGACGCTCTACCAGTTGAGCCACAGCTCCACTTCCAACATTTTTTTGCTGGCTCTTTGGAGATAAGAATCTCACTGACTTTCCTTACCCGTGCATGCTTTGAACCAGGATCCTTCGATTTCAGCTTCCTGAGTAGCTGGGATTACAGAGAGTAGCTGGGATTACAGGCATGAGCCACAGTGCCCCTTCATGAAGGGAGTTTGTAGGCCTTGACCAGGGTGTTTTTGAGGTTGTGGTCAAGAGTTGATAGTTCTGCTGGACTTCCTTCCGGTCTATTTTTGCCTAGGGACATTTGGTTTAGGTATGGATGGGCATTGTGCTCATTGGAGGTTGTAACCAGAAGACAGAGAAGCAGAGGGAATAAGATGAGTGTAATGAAAAAGTGTGAATCTAGACTGGATAAGGAAGATGGCCCAGTCAATGGCCGCCCTTCCCTGTGAAGCAGAGGATGGCTGTCAGAGCAAGTGAACTGGCGGAGGGTAGGGCTGGGAGGAGAGATGTTCAGCAATATGGTAATGAGTTAGTGTCTCTTCTATGTAAAGAGCAAGTAAAATCAACAAGAATACCAGGGCTCCAAGAAACTTTGGAAGGAATTGTTTTGTTTTTTTGTCGGTCATGGGGACTGAACTCTGGGTCTGGGCGCTGTCCTTCAGCTCTTCAGCTCATGGCTAGCACTCTACCACTTCAGCCACAGTGTCTCTTCCGGTTTTTTCTGTGTAAGTGGTGCTGAGGAATCGAACCCAGGGCCTCATGCATACAAGGCAAGCACTCTACCACTGAGCCACCTTCCCAGCCTCTTTGGAGGGAATTGAACAGGGATAGAGAAATACCACTAAAACACACAGGAAGGAGTGTCCATGATATGTCTGAAGTGGCCACAGCTGTACAGGTGCCAGAGCTCTCTGACCTCAGTCCCCAGGGAGATCGCATCTAGAAGCTGGGATTTAAAGTCTATAAATATTTACCTAAGCCCTTACTAGGCGCCAGCCAAGTGCTTTGGTCTCTAGGAAATAGGTCTAAGCCTGGAGAAAGGACTGCAGATGCCTGGACCACACAGCTCAAGGTGGAGGTTGACTGCCTTTGATTAGTCAGCGGGTCTCAGGGCCTGGGTGCTTATCCCTGACATTTTATGCTCATGCCTGGTGCTCTACCAGTTGAGCCACAGCACCACTTCTAGTTTTCTGGTGGTTTATTGGAGATAAGACTCTCATGGACTTTCCTGCCCCGGCTGGCTTTGAACCACTATCCTCAGATCTCAGCCTCCTGAGCTAAGATTATAGGTGTGAGTCACCGATGCCCGGCCAAGAAGAACATTTCTCCTACTTGGAGGCTTTGGACCTTTTTTTGGTCGGTCATGGGGCCTGAACTCTGGGCCTGGGCACTGTCCCTCAGCCCTTCAGCTCAAGGCTAGTGCTTGAACTCTGGGCCTGGGCACTGTCCCTCAGCCCTTCAGCTCAAGGCTAGTGCTTGAACTCTGGGCCTGGGCACTGTCCCTCAGCCCTTCGGCTCAAGGCTAGTGCTCTATTACCTGAGCCACAGTGCCACTTCCAGCTTTTTCTGCTTATGTGGTGCTAAGGAATTGAACCTAGGGCCTCATACATGCAAGGCAAGCGCTCTACCACTGAGCCACCTTCCCAGTACACACCCCCCCCCCTTTTTTTTTTGTCGGCCGTGGGGCTTGAACTCTGGGCCTGGGTGCTGTCCCTCAGCTCTTCAGCTCAAGGCGAGCGCTCTACCACTTGAGCTACAGCGCCACTTCTGGTTTTCTGGTGGTTTATTGGAGATAGGAGTCTCACGGTCTCTCCTGCCCCGACTGGCTTTGAACCGCGATCCTCAGATCTCAGCCTCCTGAGTAGCTAGGATGAGGGTGCGTGTGCCACCAGGTGTCTAGCTGTTTGGGACCCTAGAGAGGAGCTTGCTGGGTTCCTGCTGCAGAGACTCTTTTGTCCTCCAGCTTTCTCAGATCCCCAGGAGCGGGCGGGGAGTTGGTATGAGCTGCCAGGTTGCATTCTTACAGTATGTACTCCCTCTGTGTGTGTCTGTGTGTCTGTGCATGTAAATGTGGCTTGCATTTGTATCCGTGCGTGTGCATCTCTGCTTGTGCGTGTGTGTGCTGGTGCACTGCTGCCTGTGTGTGTCTGTCTGTCTCTCTGTGTACATGTGCTCCTGGGCCTGCAGTGAACAGCGTCACGCTGGCCGTGAACCTGGTGGGCTGTCTCGCGTGGCTGATTGGAGGAGGGGGAGCCACCAACTTTGGCCTCGCCTTTCTCTGGCTCATTCTCTTCACGCCTTGCTCCTACGTCTGCTGGTTTCGGCCCATTTACAAGGCCTTCAAGTAAGTGACGGTCTGGAGCCCAGCTCCTAGCCTTCTCCTCTCTCCTCTCTCCCTCTCTCTCCCTCTTTCCCCCTCTCTCTGTCTCTCTCTCAATGCTGGTACTGGGGCTTGAATTCAGCCTGGGGGAGGTCATGAGCTGTTTTGTTCAAGGCTGGTACTCTACCACTTGATCAACAGCTCCACTTCTGGCTTTTTTGCTGATTCATGGGTGATAAGAGCCTCATGGATGTTCCTGCCTGGGCTGGCTTCAAGTTGTGATCCTCAGATCTCAGCCTCCTGAGTAGCTGGGATGACAGGCGTGGCCCCTGGTGCCTGGCTTCTGTGTCTCCTTTCCTCTTTCTCTCATCTTTACACTTCTAGTCCCTTGTTTACTTTTGGCTCAGACCACCAGGTGGGGTTTGGGTATCCTGAAAGGAGGGGGTGTAGCTAGGCCAAAGGCTCCTCCCCCTTTTCTCTTTACCATTGGATTGGGGGTACAACAGAGAAACCTTGTTGTTTCCCCTCCCCCCCTTTTTTATTTGCTAGTTCTGGGGCTTGAACTCAGGGCCTGGGCACCGTTCCAAGGCTAGCGATCTACCACTTGAGCCACAGTGCCACTTCCAGCTTTTTCTTTTCTTTTTTTGTCAGTCATGGGGCTTGGACAATAGGCCTGGGTGCTGTCCCTGAGCTCTTCAGCTCAAGGCTAACACTCTACCACTTGAGCTACAGTGCCACTTCTGGCCTTTTCTGTTTATGTGGTGCTGAGGAATCAAACCCAGGACCTCATGCATGTGAGGCAAGCACTCTACCACTGAGCCGCCTTTCTAGCCCTCCAGCTTTTTCTGTTTATATGGTGCTGAGAATGGAACCCAGGGCTTCATGCATGCTAGGCAAACACTCTACCACTAAGCCACCTTCCCAGCCTATGCTTGGGATTCTTTTTTTGTTGTTGTTGTTGGTCATGGGGCTTGAACTCTGGGCCTGGGCACTGTCCCTCAGCTCTTCAGCTCAAGGTGAGCGCTCTACCACTTGAGCCACAGCACCACTTCCGGTTTTCTGGTGGTTTTTTGGAGATGAGAGTCTCACAGACTTTTTTCAGGCTGGCTTTGAATGGCAATCCTCAGATCGCAGCCTCCTGAGTGACTAGGATGACAGGCGTGAGCCACCAGAGCCCGGCTATGCTTGGGATTCTTGAGGGCAGTAAAGGCTCGGTCCTCTAGGGGTGACTTCTGGGTAACAGCCATCTTCTCCACTGCAGGACCGACAGCTCCTTCAGCTTCATGGCGTTCTTCTTCACTTTCATGGCTCAGCTGGTCATAAGCATCATCCAGGCTGTGGGCATCCCAGGCTGGGGTGTTTGGTAAGGGGCAGGGAGGGGACCAGGGCTGGGGGGTGCTAGGAGTGGCCCTTGGGTGTACCCTTTGCATGCCTCCCCAGTGCAGATACCAAGAGGCTGGCTGGTAGGGAAGATTGGGCTCAGTACAGTATAGTAGCATCTGCCTGTAGCACCATGGAGGAGGGGGGCTCTGGGCAGTGTTTTGTTTTGTTAAATTTTTTTTATTAAGATTAAGTGATTACACATTTCACAAATTTTACAGAATTGTGGGATAGTGATACTTAGTTAAAGTCACCAATACATTTTAACTTTTTTTTTTTTTTGTCAGTCGTGGGGCTTGAACTCTGGTTGGGTGCTATCCCTGCACTCTTCAGCTCAAGGCGAGTGCTCTACCGCTTGAGCCACAGCGCCACTTCCGGTTTTCTAGTGGTTACTTGGAGATAAGAGTCTCACAGACTTTTCTGCCCGGGCTGGCCTTGAACCGTGATCCTCAGATCTCAGCCTCCTGAGTAGCTAGGATTACAGGTCTGAGCCACCAGCGCCCAGCCACATTTTAATCTTCACAAGGCAAACGGTCATTATCATGGTCTATAATGTTTGTGAATTCTGTGAGCTTTGACAATACAGCTATTTCTTCCACATCGAGTGATATGTACATTTCTTTCCTTTTGCTTAGTGTCAGCTGTTCCCTCTTTCCCTCTCCTTCCCTCCCTCCCATCGCTGCCTTTGAGTTGCTTAGTTCGTTTTCGTCTATGTCCAGTGCGGCTGATGGGCCCCTCTGTTGTATGTTTCCCCTGTTTTCCTCTGATTCTGTGTCCTCCTAGCTTCCCTCAGATGTGCACATATATATACCATATGTGCGGTCAAGAACTTGGAGTCATTTAGCAATGATACCACAAAATGAGTGGAAGTTCTTTGTTTCTCGAGTCCTGTTTACTTTGTCATATCTCCTTGCATTTTGGCCTTAGCATCCACATATCAGGGAGACCAGGTGCCATTTGTCTCTTTGCTCTTGGCTTACCACATTCAAAATGATTTGCTCCAGTTCCATCCAGTTCCCTGCAAATGCCATTATTTTGTCCTTCGTAATGGCTGCATAATATTCCATTGTATATAGGTACCACAACTTTTGGGTCCATTCAGCTGTAGGGGGGCATCTGGGTTGTTTCCATATCTTCCCACCAGCAATGCAGTAGGGTTCCTCTTTCTCTGCATCCCCTCAAGCATTTGTTGCTGGCTGAATTTAGGTTGTGGGCCATTCTGATGGGGTAAAGTGGTATCTCAGGGTTGTTTTTATTTGCCAGGGATGATGAACATTTCCTCATGTGCTTCTTTGCCATTTTTATCTCTTCTGAGAAGTCTCTTTAGCTCCCCCCATTTCATGATTGGTTCATTAGATTTGTGAGAGGTTAGTTTCTTGAGTTCCCTATATATAATGGATATCAGGCCCTTTTCTGATATTTTGCTGGTAAAGATTTTTTCCCAGTTAGTTGGCTGTCTTTCTAGTTTGGTAGCTATGTCTTTAGCTGTGCAGAAACTTTTTCTTTTAAGGTAGTCTCATTTGTCAAGTCTCTCTCCAATTTGTTGTGACGTTGGGACTCTGTTCAGGAAGTTCTTGCCTGGGCCTATAAGTTCAAGTGTCTCTCCTAATCTGCCCTGCAGTAGTTTCAGAGTATCAAGTTTGATGTTAAGGTCTTTGATCCATTTTGAGTTGATGTTAGTACATGGTGACAGGCTGGAGTCCACCTTTAGTTTTCTGCTTGTGGCCACCCAGTTTTCCCAGCACCAGTAGTTGAAGAGGCTCTGCTTCTTCCACTGTATGTCTTTGGCTCCTTTGTCAAATATCAGCTGACGACAGGTTTGTGATTTTATTTCTGGATCTTCTAATCTGTTCCTTTGGTCTTCAGGTCTGTTTTTGTTGGGTAACGTTTTCTAGGAGGCCCGGGAGTGTCAAGCTTGGTAGGCAAATGAAGGGCAAGGCCTTGTGTCTGGAAGTATTCCCACTCCTGAGCCCTGAGGAAGAGATCTTCTTCTTCTTCTTTTTTTTTTTTTGTCAGCCCTGGGGCTTGAACTCAGGGTCTGGGCGCTGTTCCTGAGCTCTTTTGCTCAAGGCTAACATTCTACTACTTTGAGCCACAGCACCACTTCCGGTTTTCTGGTGGCTCATTGGCCATAAAAGTCTCGTGGACTTTCCTGCCCAGGCTGGCTTCCAGCCACAATCCTCAGATCTCAGCCTCCCGAGTAGCTAGGATGGCAGGTGTGAGCCACTGGTGCCTGGCGAAGTCTTTAAGATTTTTGTGCCAATGTTGGGATTTGAACTCAGGCCTTGAAGCTGAGTTCAAATTTGAGGCTGGTGCTCTACTACTTTGAGCCACACTTCCTCCACTTCCCGCTTTTTGCTGGAGATAAGAGTCTTACAGATTTGTTGGCCCGGGCTGGCTTTGAACTTCGATCCTCAGATGTCAGCTGGGATTACAGGCATGAGCCACCATACCTGGCCAGGGGATGGTCCCTTTGCATCTCTTCATCGGGCTCCTCTCTGTGTCATGGGGGGCTCCTGGCACCCCACTCCCTCCAGCGTGCACAGCTCCACATATGTCTTATTTCTACAGCGGCTGGATTGCAACCATCTCCTTCTTCGGGACGAACGTGGGCTCCGCGGTGGTGATGCTCATCCCAACCATCATGTTCACGGTCGTAGCGGTGTTCTCCTTCATCGCGCTCAGCATGGTACGTGGCCTGCGAAGGCACCAGAGGGGCCTTGGGGGAGACACTGCCATATTCCATACGGGGCTTCAACTCACAGCCTGGGCTGACTTTGAACTGCGATCCTCAGTTCTCACCCTCCTGAGTAGCTAGGATGACAGATATGAGCCCCCAGTGTCTGGTGATCTTAGCTTTTTCACTCAAAGGCTAACACTCTACCACTTGAATCACAACTCTCCTTCTGGCTTTTTTCTGCTTGATTGGAGATAAAAGTCTCCCGGACTTTCCTGCCCAGGCTGGCTTTGAACCGTGACCCTCAGATCTCAGCCTCCTGAGTAGATAGGATTAAAAGCCTGAGCTTCTTGCACCTGGTGCTTTTTATTTTTTTGAGATAGAGTCTAGGCTGGCCCTGAGCTTACAGTTCCCCTGCCCTGCGGACGTTACAGGCAGGTACCGCTGTATCCACCCTGCCTTTTCTTTTTGATTAACTCTTCCTTTTGCTTCTCTTCCCACAGGTTCATAAATTCTACCGGGGGAGCGGAGGGAGTTTCAGTAAAGCCCAGGAAGAGTGGACCACGGGGGCCTGGAAGAACCCGCACGTGCAGCAGGCCGCCCAGAACGCTGCCATGGGGGCGGCTCAGGGCGCCATGAACCAGCCACAGACTCAGTATTCCGCCACCCCTAATTACACATACTCCAACGACATGTAAACCAGCCCCGCCCGCTGGGAGGCAGTGTGGAGGGTGGGGGTGGGGGGGGTGCGGGTGGCCAGTGGGGACAAAGGGGCTCGAGCCACATCGCCGATCGTGGCCACCATGCAGGGTTCCCCCTTTCCCCTTTTTCTCCTTCTCTTCCACTTTGTACAAAGAATGAGAGCTCTCTTGATCTATCTATCTGTGTGTGCATATGTACATGTTTAGCCCCTGTCCCCCCCCCCCCCCCCCCCCCCCCCCTACCTTTTGGGTCTCACCCCGTAGCACCCCTGAGGGCTTGTGGGCCGCACATGGCATTGTCTGTGCGCTGTGTCTGTGTCCCCTTGTGAAGCTGTGTGGAGTGGAGGTCTCTCGTCCTGGTGCTAAATGTATGTTTAGAACTCAACCAGCCTCCCTGTCCCCCACCCTTCCCCCCTTGCCCTCCCCCCCCGCCCCAATCAAGCTGCCCCCTCTAACTCGTACAGGGCAGGGGGAGGCACAGCAGAGGGCCTGGTGCTCTCTGCACGGTTACTGAAGCTGTTTCTGCCCTTGGGCCCACGGGAGGGGACTTGTGTCACCCAGGTCTCCTCCCTGCTGTCAGATGCTCTGAGCTCTCTTCCCTGGGCCAGGATCTCTTTCTTTCCCCCCCATGTGGCTTTCCTTGGTCTTCCCCGAAGCGTGAGGGTCCTGCTTATCTCTGCTTCCCAAATCTGATCTGATCCTCAATTCAAGGAAGCCAGTGAAGAGACCCGAGCCAGCCTCCCTGTGGGAAGGATGCACTGTGGGAGAGGCAGAGCCCCCCCACCCCCAAACTCCCAGAGATTGGGAAGGCAGGGCTGGTCTTCTTGGCTCTGAGAATTTGGCCTACAGAGATTTGTTTTTCTTTTCTGTGTGTGTGTACGTGTGTGTACGTGTGTGTATGTGCGTGCACAAATGTGCTGATCCTGGGGCTTGAACTTAGGGCCTAGACACTGCCCCTGAGCTTTTATGCTCCAGACTAGCATTCTACCATTCTGAGCCACCACTCCATTTCTGGCTTTTTTAATGGTTAATTGGAGCTAAGAGTCTCACGGGACTTTTCCCTGCATGGGCTGGCTTTCAACCACGATCCTCAGATCTCAGCCTCCCGATTAGCTAGGATGACAGGTATGAGCCACCCAGCACCCAGCAAGACAAGTTTGTCTTTTCCTTTCCCCTTCCTCTTCTCCCCAAACCTGCTTGGACCCCTCTAGCTCTTTCTATGACCTAACTATGGCTTCATCCTGCTATTTCCACCCCACTGACTTCCCTGGCAAGCTGGGCAGTGCTAGGCAGTCGCCAAGGGCATGGAAATACTCATCTCTGGTGGTTTGGTCAGCCCCAGCCCACTGGGGCTTCTGGGCATCTCTGAGTGACACTGGACTCCTGCAGCAGGTATTCTGTATGAGTCTGGCAGAAGGGAAGAGACTCAGAGGACCAGGCCTGGAGAAGTGATTGGAGAAGGCAAATGGCATAGTTTGGAGGGGGAGGGGGTGCCCGGAGGGAGCTTCACCTCCTTAGCCCTCTTGCCCTTGGCTACATTAGAGCATTTCTGGAGAGAAGCACCCAGGCCTACTCTGAGCTTGGAGCACAAAGGCTTGAAAGGACTTTCTGGTTAGACAGGAAGAGGACTCTACTTTTAGTTTTCAGAGCTTTTTGTGGTTGCTGTTGTTGATCCACTTCAGATAACCTGCTCCTATTTGACTCTAGGACTTCATTCTTACCCTGTTGGTTCAGGAAGCCGACAATTCCCTGCTCAAGAAAACCATCTCAGGTCTGGCAGGGAGCTATTCTGTTCTAAGCAGGGAGTTAAACTTACTGACTGGTAGGGCCGGGCACCCAGTGACTCATGCCTGTCATCCTAACTACTCAGGAGGCTGAGATCTAAGGATCATGGTTCAGAGCCAGCCCCAGGGGGAAAGCCCATGAGACTTTTCATCTCCAATTAACCAGCAAAAAATAAATAAACAAAACTAGAACTGGAAAAAAAAAAAGCTGGAAGTGGACCTGTGTCTCAAGTGGTAGAGCACCAGCCTTGATCAAAAAAGCTAAGGACAGCACCCAGGCCCTGAGTGCAAGTCCCAGTACGGCCCCTGAAATAAAAATTTACTGGTAGGGGCTCCATCTTTGGGTGAGGCTTGGAGAGGGTGTGTTTGCCTGTTTTCTACCCTCCTTCCAACAGAAGCCTACCTGCTTAGGTGGGCTACTAAACCAAACCTGAGTCGGCTACTTCAGGCTGGCAAAAATCTTAGAAACTTAACACCAGGGTTTTCAGGCCACCGTGAGCGTCCAACCTCTCCCTTCTCCCCCAGCCCAGACCTCTGCTTTCCTTTCCCTCAGTCCCTCTGATAGTTCCAACAGGGCTGTGACCTAGCTGCCAGCCTAGCATCTGTGACTTACTTGTGACCACCTTGAATCAACTTCCTGTCCAGCCTGCCCTTTCTCCTTGATCCTCACCTGTAACAGCTGTGTCTGGCCCTGCCTGGGCAGGAACCATTTATCTGTGTCTGGCCCAGCTTGTTCAGGCCGAGATGCTTCATCTCCAGGCACCTATGCACTTACCTGGGAAGCAGGATGGGTGGTTGGGGGATAGGGGAAGGGGCTGGACACAGATTCATCTCTGCTGGATGGTTTGGCTTGGGATTGGGCAAGAAGACCCGGTCTGTTTGGGGGAAATCTTGGGGACTGTGGCCAGTCAGTGACCTGCTTTTGCATTCTCTTGGTGCCCACTGCCCTTCCTTATTTCTGGGAGACACAAACCATCCCCTAGCTGGCAGTTGACCTGCCTGAGCCAATGTGTCTGTCTGTGGTAATTAAGTGAACTGTAATAAAGGGGGAAATTTCACCCTGTCCCGTGTTACGTGTCTTCGTGGAGCCTCCCTGGGGGCCGTGGGGCAGAGGGGGTGGGCCTGTGACCTGACACTCATTATCTGGCATTAGTAACCATGCACTTCTTGCCGGGTCGCTGGTAGCTCATACCCATCATCTTGGCGACTCAGGACACTTGAGCTCTGAGGATCAAGGTTTGAAGCCAGTCCAGATAGGAAAGTCTGTGAGGCGTGTTGTCTTCAGTGAGCCACCAAAAAGTGCCAAAAGTGGAGATGAAGCTCAAGAGGTAGAGTGCCAGCCTTGAGTGGAAAGGACAGTACCCAGGCCCCGAGTTCAAGCCCCAGCATGGATACAAATAAGATTCATCTTCAATGAGAAGAGTTTTCCTGCCCAGAACGGCCTAAGCCGTTGCTCATGGAGGCCTACCTCTGACAGAGCTCCACCCTGCGGTGAATTCTTGGTATTCAGTGCCTGAGTTCTGATCAGTTGGGAGTGGGAGAAAGGAGGCGATAGGGGTGGGGTAGGTTGGGAGAAAGGAGGCCAGAGGGGTGGGGTAGGGCAGGAGAAAGGAGGTCAGAGGAGCTTAGGCCCTTGAGAAAACCTGGGCTTCGGGTGGCAAGGTTTCCCCGCCAATGACTACAACTCCCAGAAGGCTGCGCGACCGCATGGCGCGAGAGCCTCTACGCTGATTGGGCGGGGGGGAGGGGGAAGCGGCCGAGCTATCGCGATATTTGAGGGTTGTCCCGAGATGCGCCTGGCGCGGGTGAGCGGCGGACGGACTGGGGACGCCGGGTTCCGTTTGGGGGGTGGGGGGCACGGGAGGGCCCGGGGCGCGCGCGGCCCGGGAGGCCTCAGTTTCCCTGCCTGCACCGGCGGGGCCATCGGGCAGGCAGGAGAGGGGCGTGGGCCTGTGCCGCCCTCGGCTGCCCCGTGCTGTCGGGTCTAGTGTAATGGGTTATGTTATTTTTGAAAAATAGCCGATAGCTCTTTACATCCCGTGCTTATTTTAAGGTATTTGTATGTGCGTGCGTGTGTGTGCACGCGTGTGCGTGCGTGTGCGCTGGCCCCGGGCCCGCACTCAGTGCTTACACTGTCCCTGGGCTGGTGCTCTACCACTTGAGCCACAGCTCCACTTTTGGCTTTTGGGTGGTTCATTGAAAGGAAGAGCCTCACGAACTTTCCTGCCCGGGCTGGCTTCAAACCTTGATCCTCAGATCTCAGCCTCCCGAGTAGCCAGGATGACAGGCGTGAGCCACCAGCACTTTACTATTATGTAGAAGTTGTGGCTCATGAGGCTGGGAAGGTGGCTCAGTGGTAGAGCGCTTGCCTTGCATGCATGAGGCTCTGGGTTCAATTCCTCAGCACCTTGAGCTGAAGAGCTGAGGGACAGCACCCAGGCCAAGAGTTTAGGCCCCATGACTGGACCCCCCCCCAAAAAAAAAAGAAGTTGTGGCTCAGTGGTAGAGCGCTTGCCTAGCATGCATGAAGCCCTGGGTTCCATTCCTCAGTACCACATACACAGACAAAGCCATTAGTGGCACTGTGGCTCAAGTGGTAGAGCCATAGAGGGATAGAGCAAAAGAAGCTCAGAGACAGTGTCCAGGCCCTGAGTTCAAGCCCAGGACTGCAAAAAAAAAAAAAAAAACAAAAAAACCAACTGTGTTTATTATGTAAACAAAGAATCTGGCCCTAGCTGTGGCTTAACTGCCTGGCTAGTGACCTGGAACACTGAGGCTCAGTCATCTCGGCCCCCATTCTTACAGCCCAACCCGCCTGCCAGTTCTTTTTGCTGTGAAAGAGTTCCTAGATGTCAAGTGCCACTGGCTCTACTCTGTAATTAATACTAGCTACTTGGAAGAGTGAGATCGGAAGATCACAGTTCCAGGTCACAAAAGTGTTCATGAGACTCCATCTCAATGGTAGAGACTGGATGTGGTGTGTACCTTCCCTATTGTGACAGGAAACAAAATAGGAGGATCACTGTCAGGCCAGAAAAATGAGACCCTCTCAGAAAATAACCAGTCCAAGAAAAGGGTTGGAGATGCGACTGGGCGGTAGATCACTTGACTAACAAGTTCAAGACCCTGAATTCAAATCCCAGCACTGCCAAAAAGAAAAAAAGGTTCTCACAAGTGTATCAGGCCAGCAATATGAGGAACTGCCTACGGATAAACTCAATATGCAATAAAAGGTGGCTTCATTGGTTCATTGGTTTGGAGTTTGATCTTCCAGGGCAAACAAAACTCATGTCTCACAGTCACACTTCTTTGGACTCAGGTTCAATGGATTTGACCCTGGCTCAGATGCTGGTTAAATGACCTGATTTCTGGTCTCCAAGCGCCCCCCCCCCTCCT